AAGTGTCCAACTTTGGCTCAGGTCATGATCTCACGGTTCATGAGTTCGAGCCCTGTGCTGGGCTCCATGCTGACAGCTCAGAGCCTGGATCCTGCTTCAGATTCTGTGTATCCCTCTCTCTCTCTGCCCCTCTCCCACTTGTACTCTGTCCCTCTCAAAAATAAACATTTAAAAAATTTTAAAAAATTGATTTGCTTAAGTGTTTTCCAATATAGTTGAAATAAATTAACTTGTTTGCTTACCTAGCTGTTGTCTGATTACTTTACAAAGCTTCATTTTCTACTGGTCATAACAATTTAGTTCTGAGAACCAAGCAATCGTCCAGCAGGGACATTGAAATACAGACTTTTCCAAGTCAGAACAACAGGTGTCAGGACAGGCTCTTTTGGGAGCAAACTTCACTTCATTTGAGGTCATCAGCAGTCCAAAGATATTCCATAAACCAGCAAATATGCATTCTATACCCAAGGACACATGAGAATGCACTGTGCGCTAGGCTCCTAGATTAGCTTTTATAGAGGGGAACATTGTTGCTCTTTCTCTTAGATTACCCAGGAATCAATGTTCCTAAAATCCATTTTCAGCAGACAAAGCAGAATGGGGGCGTGATGCCAAGATAATTAGAGATAAAATCCAGAATGGTAGGCTTAGGATAAAGGAAAAAGACGTGCAGTTCCTGGTCTACTTAATTCCTTTTATTCTTATATCCTTTAAACAATGGATTATCACTTTTTGTTTTTTAAATTTCAGGTGCTCACTTGAAAGCTATGAAATTATCTACTTAGCAGGCTTACCTGCCTGCTAAAGTTCTTCTACCTAGAATGAGATAAATTGATAATTGCTTCTAATCCCTTTTCTTTCTGCAAGTAGGTGGGGAAGTGTTGTGATCAGTGCTCTTAGCATCTACTGAGCCTGCTTATGATTTCCCTTGACCTCCATAAAAGACAGATTTGGAAGTAGTTACAAAAGGAATGACAGCTGGAAAAAGTTGGTGGAAGATGGTATTCTATTAATACTTACACCAGGAGATCTGTTTGGGGTCCTTTGTGGGAGGAAGTTCAATACTTTCCCTTCAGCAAACAAGTTCAGTTGTTCAAATTTAGCAATTATGCTAGAGTGTGTTTACTATATGTATAAATCACAGATACTAATAATATATCTAATGTTTTTGTTTATAATAACATGTAGCTTTAATGAAAGCCCAGATTACAATTTTAATGGTTTAAAAATGGATTAACCAGGGGTGCCTGGGTGGCTTAGTCGGTTAAGCATCTGACTTTCGCTTAGGTCATGATCTCGTGGTCCGTGGGTTCGAGCCCCGCGTCGGGCTCTGTGCTGACTGCCAGCTCAGAGCCTGGAGCCTGTTTCAGTCTGTGACTCCCTCTCTCTCTGACCCTCCCCTGCTCACGCTGTCTCTCTCTCTCTCCTAGAAAAAATAAATAAATAAATAAATAAAAATGGATTAACTATATTGATTTAGTTATATTTGCCAAGTACTCTTGTTACTCTCTCACCTCAAATTAATATGTACAATTGGAACAAGTGGACTCTGGACTTACCATTACATGTTACCTATACAGGGGCTCTCCCACCTGTCACCCTGGCCCTTCTTCTCTGCTTTCTTTTTTCTCCAAGGTACAGTTTTCTCTATTAAGACTCAGATAAGCTGCTCCCTAGGTCAAGTACTCATGAATGTCACAGTCTCTAGCTGGGAAGCGGGTGGGCAGGTGAGTTGGAGGCAGAGGCCTTTCACATCCCCTAAAAGTTGGGCAGAAGAGGGAGCAGGATAATAGTGAAGCCCTTTGCTGGTCTAGTCAACTGCTGGGGATGGGGGTGACCCAAGAAACCCCTGGTTCCAGAATGCTGAGAATGCCCCTATTTGGGGGAAACCAAGATTTGCCTGCCCAATTAGTGTCTAGGGAAAGCAGAGGGGATAAGAGCTTGTGCCTCAGGCCAGTGGCTCTCCTGGGAACTGCCCCCCAATAGTGAGTGCTTATGGTGGGGAGGGTCTGGCAGTTTTGCTGGAGGTCAGGGTACAGGCCCTATGGATGTCAGGTCCTCCCCAGCTCAGGCCCCTACCTGTGCTTATCAGAACCTCCCCAGCACATGACCCAAGGCTGCCCACTGGCCTCCAGTCTGTGGGAACCAGCCCAGAGCTGATGGAACCAGACACCAGCGACCACAATAGCCAGCCCCAGGTCCTCACAGGGGGCTTCCCAGGCTCCATGAACTCAGCCCCTCTTAGCCAGCACGTCAAGATGACATGAGAATCAGAAGCTAATTGTCCTTTGGGAGGCACCTGCTTTCTTCCACATCTGCCCCACCTTTGCTCTGGGCAAGGCCATATGGGAAAGCGGGTCATTTTGCGAGTTCCCTGGGCCTCAGACTTTTCAGAGGGAAGTTTTCAGAGTTGATACCATGGGGTGGAGATCAAGGTGAATCAGTTCACAAACTTAAATGTGCAATTTTTTTTAATATTTCTATAACTGAATTTAATTTCTATTTTGAGCCCCATTCCACCAAGGGCACAAACTAAATCTAGGCTGAGCATTCATCCCACACATTCATCCCTGAATCTGGAATGAATACTGTTCTAAATCTCCTTGGGATTCAGAAGCCATTCCGGGGCCTTTAAAGCTCCAGTCCATTATGAATAACATCAGATTTTGCTGCGCAATTAAAAATATTTTCATGATTGGAAATTTCTTACATTTAGGAAAATGGATGAGAAGTATAAGAAAGCGATACACCCATCACTCAGGTGCAGCAATTAACAACAAAAGGTCACTGGTGTTATACTTAAACTCTCACCCATTCCCCCTCACAACTGGGTTAATTGGAAGCAAATGCCAATATTGTACTATCTTATCCATAAATACTTTGACATGAGTGTCTGAAAGATATGGATTTTCTTGGCTTAGAATAATGTGAATTATTATTTCATAGTTTCTGTAGGTCAGGAATCCAGCTTTGGGTTAATTATATCCTCTGCGCAGGGTCTCTGAAGATAAGGATTCTTTCTAAACAGTATTCCATAATATCACTATAATACCTAAAAAATTGACAGAAATTAACAGTAATTCTCTTATCTTAAAAGTTCACAGTTCAAATTCTCCAATCATGTTGTGTGTGTACACACACACACACACATATTTTCATGGTGTTTTTTGTTGTTGTTGTTGTTGTTGTTTTTAAAGAGAGAGAGACAGAGCATGAGCAGGACAGGAGCAGGGAGAGAAGAGACACAGAAGCAGGTTCCAGGCTCTGAGCTGTCAGCACAGAGCCTGATGCAGGTTCGAACCCATGAACTGTGAGATCATGACGTGAGCCGAAGTCAGACGCTCAACTGACTGACTCACCCAGGTGCTCCTCGTGTTGTATATTTTAAAAATAATTGCTCTAAGGGCACCTGGGTGGCTTAGTCGGTTAAGCGTCCGACTTTCGCTTAGGTCATGATCTCATGGTTCGTGGGTTCGAGCCCCGCATCGGGCTCTGTGCTGACTGCCAGCTCAGAGCCTGGAGCCTGTTTCAGTCTGTGACTCCCTCTCTCTGACCCTCCCCTGGTCACGCTGTCTCTCTCTCTCACCTAGAAATAAATAAAACATTAAAAAAAATTTTTTTAAAAATAATTGCTCTGTTAAGATCAGAATCCAGAAAAAATTTCTATACATTGCATCTTTTAAAGAATCTCTTAAATCTCTTGAGGGGCGCCTGGGTGGCTCAGCCGGTTAAGCGTCCGACTTCGGCTCAGGTCATAATCGCATGGTTTGTGGGTTCGAGTCCCGCATCGAGCTCTGTGCTGACAGCCAGCTCAGAGCCTGGAGCCTGTTTCAGATTCTGTGTCTCCCTCTCTCTCTGACCCTCCCCTGCTCACTCACCCTCTCTCTCTGTCTCTCTCAGAAATAAATAAAAAAACATTAAAAAAAAAAGACTCTCTTAAATCTCTTGAACCCATAGATTCCTCCTGCCTCTCTGATTTTCATGCAACTTTACAAACTTCTTATCACCACAACATAACACTACAGAGTTCTTTGGGAATGCGTTAGTCACTTGATCTGGAGAAGAGTGCTTCTCGAACTTGAATGTGCATATAAATCCCTTGGGATCTTAAAGTGTAAGCTACCAGAGGGTCTGGGCTGGAGCCCAAGCTTCCTGCATTTCTAACAGCTTCCCAGGTGATCTGTATATCGCTAGCCTAGGGACCACTCTCTGAATAGCAAGCCTGTCGAGTTCCACATTATAGATTTTGTTGATTTTGTTAATTGGATCCCTGAGGTGGATCCCTGCCTGAAGCAGGCTCCAGGCTCTGAGCTGTATACACAGCTGGGCCTGAACCCATGAACTGTGAGATCATGACTTGAGCCAAAGTCAGACGCTTAACCGGCTGAACCACCCAGATGTCCCATAGAAGTGTTGTTTTTAAAAGTAAGCCAGGTGATATGCTCCAGAATAAATCAGCTCCCATTGAATAGCATATAGACACAAACTCTTTCTACTCCTAAAGCCACTCCCACCTCTCCACACAGATCTCCATGCTTCCAGGGACCCCTCTCCAGGTACCTCAAGCCACCTTTAAATGCCCAGAGACTGTCACCCCACCAAATCTACCCCCTTTTGTCCCCTAAGCCTCAGAGGCTCTCTTGGGGTCATGTGGGATGGGCTTTTGATTTCTATACCACTTTAATTTCTTCAAGGTGAGCAAGGGTTATGCTTCTAAAAAAGATATTTTCATTTTCAGAGGAGAAAGAAAGTGTTGAAAGACCCACTTTGCTTAACTCTGCACTTTTGCTTTAAATCCTAAGGAGTCATTGAAAATCCTCTTGAATGCTGTCTCCAGGCTTCGGAGGACACCAGAATTAAAGTACTAAAGTGAATTTGGAAAGTGAAAAGCATCAGCCTCCCCAGTCTCACCCAGCTTTGCCAGTCTGGGCTGTGCTGGTAGGAGGAGAGAGGAGGACCTGGAGAGAAAAAAGAAAACAACATTGCAATGCTAGCATCTCGCCACCTGCTACCGGAGGAAGAGTTGGTTTGAGTCTTATTTTCAAATTCCTACCATCTGTCTGGCTTTCTCACTTGTTCTCTTTCTATTTTAAGAACTGTATCAGTTATTCAATTAAGTTTTGAGAACATCAATTTGTGGCGATAAACTCCGTTTGTGAGAAAGAACACAGAAAGCAGGCAGCCTTAGAGCTGAGGAACAGCTCTGATTTGGGGCACAAGTCCAGAGCTTTCTGGTTAACTTCGCACTGCTCTCCACGTGTGGATTTCTCCCCTGCTCTCTCTCTGTGCAGGAGAGTCTTCACCAGTCTCTCTCTGTTGATTTGCAGGAGTCCTTAAGCATGGCAGCGAAGCCCAAGCTTCACTACTTCAATGGCCGAGGCAGAATGGAGTCCATCTGGTGGCTCTTGGCTGCAGCAGGGGTCGAGGTGAGACTTATTCATATTATTTTTGTCTTGGGGTCGTTGATCACTTACTTAGTGAGCTGGTGTAGAAAATATGATTATATGAGTTGAGCAAAAGGCCAGTTTTGCCACCTGCTCTTTAGATACTGGGCTGTGATTGAATCAGTTCATTCTTTTAAATAAGTGCCCAAATAGCGTAGAAACTGGTTGTTGGCAGTGAGCTCACCCAAGGTGAAGCAAATAAAGACAAATGAAGAAAGGAAGGGAGGGAGGGAGGAAGGAAACAAGGAAGGAAGAAAGGGACTCATTCTACCAAATAGCTTCCTTTCATTTCATTCTTATCAGCCAAGTATTGGATATGTTTAACTACATTTGTCTCAAGAATATTAAGAAATAGGGGCACCTGGGTGGCTCAGCTGGTTATGTATTTGGCTCTTGATTTCGGCTCAGGTTATGATCTCATGGTAGTGAGATCAAGTCCCGCGTCAGCTCACAGTGACCATGCATTATCTGCTTGGGATTCTCTCCCCCCTTCTCTCTCTGCTCCTTTTCCACTGGTGCGCGCTCTCGCTCGCTCTCTCTCTCTCTCTCTCTCTCTATCTATATATATATATATAAAGAGAATATTAAGAAACAGGTAGTTTTCTTAACATATAGAAGAGTCTCATAGATACTGATTTAAGAACATACCATTTATTATCAAAACTATAACTATCCCATAGTTTAATGAATTTAAAAACTACTATTCTCAACATACATAAAAGCTAAGTTACTGAAGTTTATAAAGACCTTTCAAAGATAAATATTTGTGTGTAAATATTTATTGTGAACAGAAAGCATTAGCCTCTTTTGTAACCCACAAAATTAAAAAAAATTTACTGTTTACTTATTTTTGAGAGAGAAAGAAACAGTGCACAGTGGGGAAGGGGCAGAGAAAGGGAGACACAGAATCTGAAGCAGGCTCCAGGCTCTGAGCTGTCAGCACAGAGCCTGACTCGGGGCTCAAACCCAAGAACCACGAGATCATGACCTGAGCTGAAGTCAGATGCTTAACTGACTGAGCCTCCCAGGTGGGCCCACACAATTTTTATTTAAAGATTTATTTATTTTGGGGAGAGTGCAAGTGGGGGAGGGGCAGAGAGAGGGAGACAGAGGACCCAAAGTGGGCTCTGTGCTGACAACCTGACAGCAGTGAGTCCAATATGGGGCTTGAACTCATGAACCATCAGATCATGACCCGAGCCAAGATGGATGCTCAACCAACTGAGGCACCCAAGTGCTCCTACATAATTTTTAAAAATCGCTCCTAAATGGTCTCCTAGATCCAAAATGAAAGAACAGGCAGTTTTCTTCACACTTATGGCCAGCTTCACGGGGTTTAACATGAAACTAGCAAGTAACCCCATTCACTTGATATTTGTTAGGATGGTCTACATTCTGTTTTAGCCCTGACAGAATATATGTTCATTTGTTCACTAGGAATTTAGATTCCTTATATGAATGCAGCTTAGAACATGATTTATTATTAATAAATATTTTGTGAAATAGACTATTTTATGTTATCTGGTGGTGTAGAGGTTTTGAAAATATTTTAGGAGACAATCACAGATGTTTTATACTAAAATCTGAAGAAAGCTGAGAAACTATTTGCTTGAAAAAAGCCTAATGTACTGTAGGGGCTCAGAGAAGCCACAATTTACATAATTGGATTCTAGGTCCCTAGGTTAAGAATTCTGTTACAGTAGGGGCGCCTGGGTGGCTCAGTCAGTTGAGCATCTGACTCTTGATTTCAGCTCAGATCATGATCTCACAGTTCATGGGATGGAACCTCACAATGGGTTCTGTACTGACAGTGTGGAGCCTGCTTGGGATTCTCTCTCTCTTTCTCTCTCTCTCTCTCTCTCAAAATAAAGAAACTTAAAAAAAAAGAATTTCTGCTATAATAAAACAAAACATCTTTGTGAAAAGTTCATCAGAACTTTTGTCAAAAATCCCTTTGTTATGAATTTTAAAAATTTTTCTTTTTTTAATGTTTGTTTATTTTTGAGAGAGAGAGAGAGAGAGTCAGAGCAGGAGTGGGAGAGGGGCAGAGAGAGAGGGAGACACAGAATCCAAATCAGGCCCCAGGCTCTGAGCTGTCAGCACAGAGCCTGACAAGGGACTCGAACTCACAAGTTATGAGATCATGACCTGAGTCGAAGTTGGTCGCTTAACTGACTGAGCTACCCAGGCTCCCTGAATGTTTTTAATTTTAAGTTAAAATTTTGAAAATATGTGAAGTTAAAAACAGGTTATAATGAACATGATGCCAGTACATGGAATGAGCAATTATTATAATTTTGTCATATTTGTCTTCGGCCATAAAAATAAAACCACATGGGTAATATACTAATATAATCTTCTTTTAGAAATAAAGCATCACCTTCCCTCCCATATCTACTGAAGTAACCTGTATCCAGTCAGTCCAGCCTTCATATTTTTACAGTTGTGTGTGTGCTCACCAACCACTTGTGTGCCTGTTGAAATAATTTACGTAAATGGTGACTTTTGTGCATCATTCTATGTTTTCCTCCTTGCACTCATTATTATGTTTTGGAGATCTATCCATATGGAGATGGATAAATGACAGATGAATAAAGGAAGAGGGTGAGGAATCAGGGTCATTCCTTTATAATTATTTTTTAGATCTCAGTTTTTATGTATTGTTGCTTTAGTATTCTCTCTGAATAATAAAATATGATAAAACACACAGGAGACAATGTGAGCCCAAAGCCCATCTGTCAAAAACATTGCAGTTTCTTCATAGAGGAGGGCACTATATTTTAGTATATAATAAAACAGTTTGAACTTGTCATTTCTTCTTCCAATGACCTAATTTTCTCAAAACGATAAGAGGCCAATTCTCCTTTTGAGCCACATGAAGCTCTTTCTGGGATCTTCTGACTCCTCATAGTTCTTATATTCAGGGTTAGTATCATCATAGCTTGTCAGAGTTAGGAGAAAATACTATAGTCAATACTTACCTTCTGTGCCTGACTTTTCCTCGTGATGTAAGTCATAGCAAACTTTCAAAAGGTAAATAATCATGCTCTAGCACAAATGACTTTGCTAAAATGGCTGTGCTTTGTTTATCCTTAGAGCCCTGCAGTACTTGACAGGGCCTCTTACATAGTAAGCCTTCAAGCAAAAGATACAATTGAAGAAGACACACCATTAAAAACAAAAACGTTCAGGTGGGAAACCCTCGCTACCAGGTGTGGTCTGGTAAAATTCAATCTAAACCTACCAGAAAATTCCTCGGACAGTATGTAGTCTGCGGAATTTCACAGAACCCCATTCCCAGCCTCTGAGCTCCTGGGTGCTGCCCTCTTCCCAGGCTACTCTCAGGGATTAACCTGGTAACGCACTGGTTGGAATTGGAAGTTGGGCTTTACCCTCTGAGCTCTTGGAGACTGGCCAAAGCAGAGAGTAATGTTACCTTGGAGTTCCTGACATGAGAAATGTAAGGAGAAAGTGAAATCATAAACATGTGCTTTTTATCCCCCCATCACACTACATGAAAGTCAAAAGTAATCTTTAAAATGTTTTTTTAATGTTTATTTAGTTTTTGTTTTTTTACTTAAAAAAACCTTCTTTAATGTTTTATTTACTTCTGAGAGAGAGAGACAGAGAGACAGCATGAGCAGGGGATGGTCAGAGAGAGGAAGACACAGAATCTGTAACAGGTTCCATGCTCTGAGCTGGGAAGACACAGAATCTGAAACAGATTCCATGCTCTGAGCTGACTGTCAGCACAGAGCCCGACGCGGGGCTCACAAACCATGAGATCATGTCCTGAGCTGAAGTCTCTTTTTGAAAGAGAAAGAGACATAGCACAAGCGGGGAAGGGGCAGAGAGAGAGGGAGACACAGAATCCGAAGAAGGCTTCAGGCTCTGAGCTGTCAGCACAGAGCTGATGGGCGGGGCAGAAACCCACAAACCGTAAGACCGTGACCTGAATTGAAGTTGAAAGCTAACTGACTGAGCCCACAGGTCTCCCAAAAAGTAATCTTTAAATTTAGAAAAAAAGGCCTTTGGGGAAGCTTTGTTTTTATATCTTGGTTTCCCCATCTGTATTCTCATATTTGGTGGCAACTTTAGAATATGACTTCTTCCTATAAAAATTATTCAAATACATGGGGCACAGGGGTGGCTCAGTTGCTTAAGCAGCTGACTTTGGCTCAGGCCATGATCTCAAGGTTTGTGGGTTTGAGCCCGGCTCATCGGGCTCTGTGCCGACAAACTCAGAGCCTGGAACCTGCTTGGGATTTTGTGTCTCCTCTTCTGCTCTCCCTCACTCATGCTCTGTCTCTTTTTCAAAAATAAACATTAAAAATTTATTCAAATACAAATTACATATTTAGCAAGATGATAATGTCTAAAATGTCGTGAGTTTGGAGAGAAGGGAGTCTAGCCCTGGTTCTTCCACCTTTTAGCTGAGGGACTTTGGGCAAGTCAGTTAACCTCTCTGGGCTTCATAAACATCAAATGAAGGCTTGGAAAAGAAGAGCACCAAGAGTTGTAGCTAATGCTGGTTTTCAAGGTTTAGGAATATGGGTGATCTGATACCTGGGTTTAATGTTAACATTAAGTATTCAGGAACAACATTGGGGAACCATGGTATCAGTACCTTTTCTTAATATTTTTTATCATCCCAAATTATAAATGTAAAATTTTTGAATTATTTTTGTTACAAAGGGGGTAGGCTAAAATCTTTAGGGAAAATACTGTTTTCTATTTATGCATTGTGTTTCCCATCTCTAGTCATGATAGAAATAACACAGAAAACTCATTTGTTTTAAATTTTACATTGAAATTATACCATACAAAACGTACACATTCAATCTGTAGATATATTTTTTCAGTTAGATTGTTACCACGTAGTTTCTGAGATTTGCTGCAATTTAAATTCTCTGTCTAAGCCAGTGTCTATACAATAGAATGATCAAACAAAAGTGTGCTTGTTCTTGAACCCTGGAAATGAGGGACAACAAACACGACCCAAGGGAAAGTTTTGAGGAAAACAGTGACAATGGTCAATATTGAGCCAAACATTGAGTTAGTCTTCCTTTGATAGGGTCTTATTTAACCATCATGACGGCATCAGGAGTAGGTATTAGCTTCATTTTCACACATTAGGAAACTGAAATTAGAAGAGAGCAACTTGTCTGAGCATTAAGATTGTGATCTGAAAAGTCCGTCTGGCAGGTTCGGTCCATACAACAGGAGGTATCAATGTTACTCAGGATCAGCTGAATTCAGTAATCCCTTTGCATTGGTTTCATATAAAAATTTCCTTGGGTTCATAAAACTCAGAAGAGGCCAGCATGGGTTTAATAACTACTTGAAATATTGGTTTAATTGGTGGTTAGACCATTTACTTCTATTCAGTTCTTTTTCTGTGATATTGAAAGTAATAACAAAGCTCAAAATGATAACTGGCACCAAGTTATTATATTCTGTCTTTCACTTTTTAGTTTGAAGAAGAACTTTTTGAAACATGTGAAGAATTTGGGAAATTAATTCAAAGTGAGAAAAAAAGCCTGTTACACATGATGGTGCATTAGACCAAGGATGAGATAGATGGTCTCTCCATCTCTGTGAGAGGCACACAACAGACACCCCCCTCACAAACACAGATTCTAGAATCATCTTCTTCTTCTTCTTCTTCTTCTTCTTCTTCTTCTTCTTCTTCTTCTTCTTCTTCTTCTTCAATTTTTGAGAGAGCGAGAGAGCATGAGGAGGGGAGGAGCAGAAAGAAGGGGAGAGACTCTTAAGCAGGCTCCACGCTCAGCGCAGAGCCCAAACCAGGGCTTGATCTTACAACCCTGAGATCATGACCTGAGCTGAGATCAAGAGTCAGACGCTTAACCAACTGAGCCCCTAGGGTGCCCCCACACAAAGAGCAGAGAAAGTTAGGTAGACAATATCTGATGTATCTCTATGTCAAGAAGGCAGCACTTGGATCTTGCAACAGGCATAGGAGAGTTCAAAGTAGGAGGGGCCCTGCCTCCAGGCTCCTAAACTGTTCTAATTTCAGCCCTATCCCCCTGCTCCCTCAGCCATAAGGATGATACTACTTTCCACAATAGCCACCTTCATGATACTGCTTTGTCCCTTTGTTCCCTCTCGGGTCTCCAGGACCCAGTTAACTTCTTCGTAACTACATGTGGTCAAAGTAACTGAAGTTACTGGTATGGTTCTGTCTCCCAGCTAGACCCCAAATGACGTAATTAGGGAGCAGAGAGTGTCCTTACAGTGAAACCTGGTGGCAGAAACAGAAAGCCAGGATGCTCTTGCCATGGATCCAGTCCAGAGAACTGGCTCAACTTGAGGTGTTAAGTGGGGGAAAGTGCCAGCTTTACCGTTGCCCTTCTGAGGAAGGGCCAGACAGACTGACAGAGAGGGAGGGAGGGAGAGATGCATAGGCGCAGAGAATGGAATTCTTTTAAATGGAACCACCTCTCTCAAGTTGTTGTTGTTGAATACAAAGATTCCCTGAAAGACTGAACACTAAGCCCAAAACAAAGAGCTGTCACCCAGATGGGAGGTCACTGGGATTCCCACTGGGAGAAGGGAGGGAAAGGATGGAAGGTTCACACAGGAGAGTGGTACGGAATAATGTGTGGAAAGTGCATGGAGGCAAATTTCAAGGAGTGCTTTGAATTCCAGGTTGAGGTTAAGTATTATTGTCTTATAAGCAAAGAGGGGTCATGGAAAGGTTTAAACAGAGTGTTATGATGCTTTATTATTTTTAAATAATAAAGTGTATTTAATAAAAAAAAATTAAAAATAGAACTACCCTATGATCCAGTAATTGCACTACTGTGTATTTACCCAAGGAATAGAAAAACAGTAATTTGAAGAAATACATGCATCCCACTGTTTATTGCAGCATTATTTATAGTAGCCAAGATAAGGGAACAGCCCAAATGTCCACTGAGAGCTGAATGGATAAAGAAGAGGTGGTGTATATATATATATGTATATCTATATATAAATATATAGATATACAATGGAATATTACTCAGCCATAAAAAGAATAAGATCTTGTCATTTGCAACAACATAGATGGATCTAGAGAATATAATGCTAAGCAAAATAAGCCAGTCAGAGGAAGGGAAATACCATACAATTTCACTCATATGTAGAATACAAGAAACAAAACAAATGAACAAAGGGAAAAAGAGACAAACCACAAAACAGGCTCTTAACTATAGAGAACAAACTGGGAGGTGGGGAGCGGTGAATGGGGGAAAGAGGTGATGGGGATTAAAGAGTACATTTATCATGATGACCGTTGAGTGATGTGTGGAATTGCTGAATCACTATTTTGTACACTTGAAACTACACTGGAAATAAAATTTTAAAAAACTTAATTTAAAAAATGGAAGGCCCATCTGAGGGCTGAGTTATCAGCTAGGACATTACTATGACGGCTCAGAGGGAAAGAGAGTTAACTCCTAGGGTGGCTACAGGAATGGAGAGTAAATGGTGAGAAAGGGGTATTCTTGGCCAGAAAGAAAGCTTCTGTGTCTGTACTTTGTTGTATCTCCCAGAGTATACAACCTCAAGTCTTGCACTGTACACATTTTTTTTGTGAATAAGTGCACAAATAGTTCTCCTTTTAGATCAGTCTCTAAAATATTTTAATAATATTTGATTATGTACTCCCATTTTGTAGCATCTTAAGAGTTAAAGAAAATTTAGTTATTACCATCAGGGACAGTAAGTAACCTAACTTTCCTTTGTACATTTTTAGGCGGAACTCTGATGTATGAACAAGTACCCATGGTTGAAATTGATGGAATGAATCTGGTAGAAACCAGAGCTATCCAACGATACCTAGCTGCAAAATACGACTTGTATGGAAGAAACCTACAGGAACAAGCCTGGTAACAACAATCATTTCTTACTTAAAACAAAATTTAAAAAAGAAAACAATATTTAAACTTTAGGCATGTTAGCAATTGTAACAGATGCTAGATTAATCATAATTGATGATAGATGGATTGAAAATCTTTTCTTATTTTTTAACTTATTATGGAAAAAACTAACACACATCAAAGGAGAGAGAGTGGTAAAATAAACCCTCTTTACACAATGTTTACTTTCAACAATTATCAATTCATGGCCAGTTACACAGTTTATTTCATTTTCTGATTCTATATCCAGTACAAAGCAAGGACAAAAAGCAGTGAGGGAAATGGGACTATTTTTCATGAAATCTGTGTTTGCTTCCACTAGGTGGGAGTAAAGCACAGGGTACAAACACAAACTCAGATTTGGGGCATGAACGTGTGAAATTGATTCCAGAAGCAGCTTTTGGAAACCACCTTCCTAGTCTCTGGTACACCAGACAGCACCCCAGTCTCCCAGACAGTCTTAATTCTCATGTGCACACACCAGTCCTTTTGCAATGGGCAAACCAGCACAATAGTTCTGGCCTGTCTAGATTTTGAAACAGTGACCCTAAATTGCAAATTATTGTGCGGAATTAGGAAACCATTAGTTGGTAAACAGCAAACCATCCATTTTTACCAAATGTGGTATGTTTTAAATAAATTTCTCATCATTTTATACACAGAATGAATGCATTTATTTTCAGAAACTTAGCTTTAAAGTTTTTAGTGCAGTAAAATTTTTGAAATGTATCTTGCATTTTTAAATCTTAAAATAAGCTTTCTCTTGCTTTTTACCAGATTCTAACTGCCAATTTCTGTTGAATGCATCCCTGCAGTATAGTTTACACATTCTGCTGCTCTGTATTTCCTGGAAATTAGTTGTTAGATATTGAGGGTTTTTTTTTTTTTTTTTTTAAATTTCTAGGAGAGAGAGAGAGACAGCGTGAGCAGGGGAGGGTCAGAGAGAGAGAGGGAGTCAAAGACTGAAACAGGCTCCAGGCTCTGAGCTGGCAGTCAGCACAGAGCCCCACGCAGGGCTCGAACCCACGAACCGTGAGATCATGACCTAAGCGAAAGTCGGACGCTTAACCGACTAAGCCACCCAGGCGCCCCGATATTGAGGTTTTATCAGACTCAAATACTAGTGGTTTTTGCAAGCTATTTCATAGGTATGGGTGCATTCCCCTATCAGGAAGCAAAAAATGTCTTCTTGTCTACTCTTTATGATCTTGACAGTCATTGGCATTCAGTGCTATCATTCCTGCTGCATTTATAATCTAGAATACTCCTATAAAGAAAAACTCCCGTTTCCTATCTGGTTATCTGGAGTACAGTTTCTCAAAGGAAAGACATGATACACCTTTGTTTCCGAATATTCCAAATGAGTTGGCTCACCTGCATCCTACAACACTGATCAGTTAGTTATTGTTATTGTTCTAGTATCACTATAATCTTATCGATTTAAATATCTTTGATGTGTTTCAATTCATTTTAGTTGTTATTATTATTTAGGCTCAAATTGTCCTACCTTTGGCCAGTGGGGCCAGGTGGCTGCTGGAAATATTTGACCTTACTCTGGTGGTCTCTGATAACTTCCTTATTACCTGGTCTAATATGATGATCTAAATTAATCCTGTACATCTCTTGTTCCGGACTGGACTTAGCCATTTCTCTAAGGAGCTGTGGTTTTTAAGTACATCTTTCACACTAATGTTTAAAAATTACAAATGAATTAATAATTTTTATGGTGCCTTCACTGGTTTATGAAACCTTTTATGTGTTACATACTTTTTATCTTAAAACTCTTTCAACTACATAAAAGCAGATTGTTGACTTTTCAGCATGGTGTGCCAAACATTTTCTTTGAAACCCTAACAAGACTTTCATCTTAGAACCATTATTTCTTAATGGACTTGGATAAGGGCAATGTAAAAGAATGGCTTTGCTTTGCAGCATTGCGGCATGCGGTAATGACTCGTCATTAGCGCGTTGGGCTTTGCTTTGCTGAATCATTACACATGTAGACATTTAAGGCATTTCCAGTGTGACTTGATTGTTTTCTTGAAGCACATTTCGTGTTTTATCTTATGCTAAAGCAACATAGATTTTTTCCTCCCACTTTCATGTATCTTTATTATGATTCTTTCTACTTGACCATCCAGTAAAACTATAATAAATGAGATCATTCACACACACGTACACACACACACACACACACACACACACACACACACACACACACACAAACTCTTTCAACTACATAATCCCAAAGCAACCCTACTGCTCAGAATGCTACTCTTCTGGCTCTCAACTGCTGCAAACGCTTTGTCCCACAGTTCTGTGAGTTGACGCAGATCAGCTGGATGGCACTGAGAGTCTCTCATGCAGGTCCTCACTCATATGTCTGGCAGGTTGAAAGAGCTGGGACAAATGGCCTGGCAGGGTCTCTATCTCCCTCCACATGACTTCTCCATGAGGCCAGCTTGAGCTTTTTCTTCCATGAGGCAGCTGGCATCCCTCAGAGCAAATATGGAAGAGGACCAAGTAGAAGCTGTGAGGCTTCTTATGATCTAGTCTTAGAAGTCTCAGAACATTACTTCCCCGCACTGTGCTGGTCAAACAAGTCCCCAGGGCCCATTCAGATTCAAGGGGAGAAGGAGATTGTTCTCAGTGGCAGGAGTAGTAAAGTATTTGAGGCCATTTCAAGATACTTGTTCCTATTCTAGGTTAAATCTAAAAGAACTATGGCTCCAAAAGATTAAGAGACTTACTTTGGAGAAGGACAGAGGTTTTCCAGTCCAGTAGTAAGTAGTCTTTACACTATGCCATGGTGCCTTGTCTAACATAGTACCTATTTTTCTGTTCATTCTGGCATAGAGATGTGAGTGGTAAGGGGGAACCCGTCGAATAAGTTCTGTGCCTTCCTAAATTATTCTAAGTTTAAGAACCTTCAATCCAGATGGAGATGTTGTAGGCAGCATAGAAGTCTCTAGTTGCCTCTTTCCTCCCTTGTCTAGATATGGGTGATTTCATTGTTACAATAACATTTAAGTAGACAAATATGATCTTTGCCTAATTTAATACTTTAGGATTATCTCAATACTCTGTTTTAATTAGCACTCATGTCACAGGGTTGAAATTCACATCCACATAATTGCTCACATACTTTAGTCCTATAATTTTCCCTATTTCTCAAATTGATCTTAATAGCTCAAAGAAATAGCATGCAGGTAGAAATGCTTGATTTTAACTCATGGGACAATTTGACACCTGCTAATTAGGCAGGTTAAACTGAGGCATTAGTTAACATGTTTCTTTGGCTCATGAAATGATGGTTCTTTTACCTGGAACTCTTTGAATTATCATCCCTTCTCTAGGATCGACATGTATGTGGAGGGCTTAAAGGATCTGAGTGACATGATTATGTTCTTTCCACTCTCTCTGCCTGAAGAGAAGGAGATGAATCTTGAATATATCCTTGAAAGAGCCACTACAAGATTCTTCCCTGTCTATGAGAAGGTAAGCAACAAACTTCTGCCCTGCTCTATGACATGGATCAAGCGGGAGAAAAAACAACTAAACTAAAAATAAAGAACTTTATTGGTGGATAAACATCCCAAACACACTTTGTGAAAGCAAAATTCTTCCCCCAATTACCATTATAAGACAAATCTGCCCTCCCTCCTCTCACCCTAGTCTTCTGCATTATATATTTTTAAGGATTTCATACATAATTCCAGCAATATTTATAGTCCTAGTGCTGACAGAATTTCAGTTACTTGATTTAATTATGGAGTAAAACAGAGTCTTATAAAGAGGATTCAAGGGGGAAAATTCCACACTAATTAGAGAGGAAGGGGTGGAAAGGATGGATGTTACTTCTGAAATACACTGGATAGTACAGGGCCCAGGGCAGTTCATAAGGCTTATCAGAATTCTATACAATATTCTAAAAGTTAAGAAAAAAATTGTTCTAGAAATAACACTATTTTCATCTATCTCTGCATTTTTAACAGCTGAAAATAATGTCTGAAAACCTTGAGTTTTAAGCAAATGCTCAGTGTCAGCCCTAATACAAGGATCGGATGACTTCTTTAGTATCAATGCACTTGACCTCCAGCTGCATTCATTATAATATCAGTCAACATAGGAAAGCATCATGAAAAATGTTAAGGTTTTGGTAAAAATGAGACAGGTCAGTTTTCCAAACCTACCAGCAATGCTGATTTAACCCATTCTTTATGAGTTGAGTACCAATGGTTATAATTGAAGGATTTAGTACATACATGGAAATATATTTATCATATTAACAATTTTATAGTCTAATCATATAACGTAGATTATTTATTTGATGTTTATGTATTTAGAATAGATGACTGATACTCTAACTTCCTAGGTTATATTTTTTCATTTGTTACAGTGAGTTATCAGCCCCCTTGGTCCAAGATGGAAGGCAAATCAAACTGAACAGTCTACACCTCAGGCTTTCTCAGTATGATTCCTTCAAAATCATTTAAAAGATAGTCTCTGGGGCATCTGGGTAGCTTAGTTGGTTAAGCGTCTGACTTTGGCTCATGTCATGATCTCATGGTTTGTGAGTTTGAGTCTCACGTTGGTCTCTGTGCTGACAGCTTTGAGCCTGGAACCTGCTTCAGATTCTGTCTCCCTTTCTCTCTGCCTCTCCCCAGCTTGCACTCTGTATCTCTCTCAAAAATATATAAATGTTAAAAATTGTTTTTAAAAAGATAATCTATTCTGATGTAATTAACATATAATTTAAGAGATCTTGATCTTATAATTTTACTAATATTGGTAATGGAATCAATGTTTAACACCACTATTTCCAATGACCTAAGTGTTTGTTGTGGGGTGCTATGAAGAACAGAGACTTCTCTGGTGGCTAAAAATCAACAACAATGAGTCAGCAGCATCAACAACATCATCATCACCAAAACAGTGTTAATCATATGATGGCTCATTTTTGCTTTGTGCCTACTTTGTGCTAATCACTGTGCTATGCATTTTGCTTACATGATTTCATGTAATCTTCAGAACTCCATCAAAGATGTGACATTGTTATCCTCATTTTGCAGATGAGGCAATCAGAGCTTAAAGAAGCAAAGTAACTTGTCCAATGTCATACAACTAATAACATTGACACCTACAGTCAGGTCTCTCCAACTTCTGATCCCATGTCCAAGCATCACAAAATCACAGAGGGTTAGAGCTAGAAAATACTTTAGTGACCTACTACTCCAACCTTTAATATTCAGTTGATTTTTAACACAAAGTGACCCATAAGTCAGAGCTTTATTAGAAGAAAATTTGTGGGGTGCCTGGGTGACTCGGTCGGTTGAGCATCTACTCTTGATTTCAGCTCAGGTCATGATCCAAGGGTCATGGGATCAAGCCCCATATCAGGCTCTGCACTAAGCACCAAGCCTGTTTGACATTCTCTCTCTTTTTCCCTCTGCCCCTTTCCCTCTCTTGCACACACACTCTCTCTAAAGTAACATAAAAAATTTTTTAAAGAGAAGAAAATCTGCTTATAGATGAGGTGTATGTCCCTTTGAGAATCGTGTTCTCCTTCAAAGAGCAACAAATCTAAGGAGCCTGCCCTGAGATGGTGTGAGGAGAGAATTATCATCGCAGACCCAGGAGAACCACCAATCCAGGCTGTGGGGATAAAATTATTCTATAAAGGTTCATAGAGTACATACAATGGAAAGAAGACAAAGGCGTATGTGAGATTAGGCTGTTTCTGGTGTTCAGAATACTCAGGAGGATTCGGACTAGTCCACTTCTTTCGATGAACAAACCAAAGCCCTCAGAGATGGGATTTATTTGTGCTCACACAGCTAGCCAGTGGCCAAGATTAGGAACCACACCTTTTTTAAAGACTTTCTGCCAATCACACTGACTTTAAATTGCCTTGCTAGTATAATCCCTAAATCCTCTAATTCTTCTCAACTATCACGCAGGCACTAAGAGACAATGGGCAAGATTTTCTTGTGGGCAACCGGTTGAGCTGGGCTGATATACAGCTCCTTGAAGTCATCTTAATGGCTGAAGAGTGCAAACCCAGTGTCCTCACAGGCTTCCCTCTGCTACAGGTAACGCTCTCCAAATAGCTCCCAAGAACTGCAGGAAGAATGAATTTTTATCATTTGCTTGTTCTTTCTTTCAGTCATTCTAATTCTTATTCTCATTCTCATTAGCATTTAAGAACTTACTAACTTCTTTTTGCCAAGATACAAAGACACTCTCAAAGAACACATCAAGTGGGTGAGACAAGCACATAGACAGGTAACCTCAGTATAAGGTAGTGATTTTAAAAATAAAGAGAGATACGGGAAAATAGAGAAGGGCATGTGGGCCAGCACGTGGATCTGGGGCAGACTTCTGGCAGGACTCAAGTCTCAAAGGTTTTGCCCAGAATGTGGCAGGACCTCAATAAAATGGCTTTCTTGCTCCAGATAAGGTGATGGGAAAACATTGAAGATACTCTCGTCCTAACACAGCCATTGTTTAGCAGTAACCAGAGCCAGTGACTATACTCGCAGGTGCTAAGCATTGTACCAAGCACTGAATGCACAGTACTTCATTGATTTCATTTCATCCTCAAAGTGGATAGGAAAGGACTCCAAGAGGTCAGAGAACTTTCCTTCAAGTCACACTGTCAGTAGGTGACAGGACTGGTGTACAAACTCTCAGCCTGACTGATTCCATGGCCTGCATTCTAAGACACTTTGCCATGTTGGTGGATTCCTTTCTAACCTTTTAAATATATGCTTATTTAAAATAGTTGTAATCCAAGTTATGGTAATTCTGCAGCCTCCATGTCCCACTTCACATTACATTATGTGCATGTTTTGGTATTATTATTTAGTCTGCCTCATTTTATACAATATGGTCTTATATTTTTTGAACAATTTTCATGACGATATAATATTCCATTTACTGTGCTCTGAATAACTTATTATTTTTCATTTATTTTTGAGAGCGAGAGAGGGAGAGCATGAGCAGGGGAGGGGCAGAGAGAGAGACAGAGACAGAGAGACAGAGAGAATCCCACGCTGGCTCCTCGGTGTCAGTGCAGAGCCTGATGCAGGGCTCGATCTCGTAAGATCATGACCTGAGCCAAATCAGGAGTCTGACACTTAACCCACTGAGCCACCCAGGTGCCCCAGAATAACCTAAATAGTGAACATCATAAACAACTTAAATATTCAATATCTGAGGAATGTCTACATAAATTAAGATACATTTATCGGGTAGAATTTTATGCAGTTACCTAAAGGTATATTTTCAAAGATTACGTTACAACATGGAAAAAATGCTTAGGACATAAAATCCTTATGACATAAGGACTTCTATTTATTAGTTATATATCAGGATACTCTGGAGTATTTGCTTTTATGAATAATGTTGCAACAGCATCTTCATGGGTATAAATTTTTCCACATTTAAGATGGTATCACTAGGCTGCAATCTGAAAAATGGGGTCACTTGGTTATAGCCTATGAACATTGTCGTGGTTCTTGAGAAATATTGCTAACTTGCTTTGTACAAGTCATCACTTTGTAAGCCACATCAGGTACGAAAATTCCTTTTTCTCCTCTACCTCTCCCAGCGTGAGAAATATAATTTTTAAACACTTTGTCTCATATGCAAAAATGTACAACGCTTATATTTTGTCTATTTTGCCATATTCTCTTTTAATGGATTGTATACTTCTGCATTTTAGGAGTTCAAGGCCAGAACCAGCTGCATTCCCACAATTCACAAATTTCTCCAGCCTGGAAGCCAAAGGAAGCCTCCACTAGATGAAGGCTCCATTGAGACCGTGAAGAACATATTCAAATTTGAACGTGGCATGTTTCTTAAAAACATGGCTACTATAGTAGCTGAGTATTAACAAATCAAGAGGTCTAATGGACTCCACACGTTTCACTTCACATTTGTAGGCATACCCAAAAAGGTATCGTAAGGTCAAGTTGATAAAGATAAGCAAAAGGAAATAAACTACCTAACATTTGCCTGCAAATCAGACAACACTTTTTCTGTGTGTGTGTGTATGTTTATAAAACAGTAAAACACCAATCCATCAGAATCATCCAAATAAAGATTCTTCTCCATTCTACTTATTGCAAAAGAGTAAAATCCTATGTAAGTCAACGGGTATCAATGACTTCTTTAAAAAAGGAAAAACCCCACGTAAATACCAACCGTCATACATTTCCACATCCTTTTGGGGGAAGGTCTAGGACAGAGCATAGCTTCAAACTGGTTTCTTAAGTGTTCAGTCACTAGAGTATTTTATAGATAGAGCATATATTTTTATCACTAAGTTCACATTTAGTTTCTTCTTCAGTATCATAATCATACTTTGAGTGTAAACTGTTGTCGGTCCAAATCTGAAGGGTCTTTTCAACCATCTCTATAGTCAGCAAATGCATAGAGCACCCTAGTGATAACCACTTTTTCCAACCTTGCCTGTGGTAACAACCTCTTTGCACCATTAGGATAAATGGGATTTCTTTTAAAAAGTAGAATATTTTTAAAGTATATCCAAGGATTTTGTCTGGGTTTTCTATTTGGTTAAACTGGTAGCTTCCTTCCTTCCTTCCTCCCTTCCTTTCCTCCCTTAACTGAATTACTTATCACTGGAAGTCTAATAACTTCACTGAAAGTCAGCTGGGAAAGGCAACTGAACACAACCGTATCAACTCTGCTCTTCTCAGTCGGGACTCCACTCCCCATCTCGTGCAAAGAGTGGGTTTGAGATCTGAGATCACTGAGTAGGAGCAATAGGATCAAAATTGAAGACTTTGAGAGCTTTAAGGGATCTTTTTCACCGTTTAGTCCAAATTCCTCCTTAAGGATGAGAAACTGAGACCCAGAGAGAGGAAACGACCTTCCAAAGAACATACAACCTGCCTGTGGGAGGACTGGTCTGAAACTCAGGTTTCTTGATGTTCCGTCTGGGGCCTAAAAGTAAGTGCCTTGGACATTAAGTCATGACTGTTCCTAAAAATGATGTGGTGATTTGGGGACAAAGTCATTTTTGTTTTAAAACTATTACTGTCTCAGTGAGAGAGAGTATCTGCTCCTGAGGAAGAGTTCTGGCTTAAAAAAACCTCCTTTCCAATCACTTTCATTAATAATTGAGCATTTAAATGTTAAAAATCATTTGGGAATATATAGAGAGGACACTAAGATGAGAGAACCAGGTTTAAAACAGAATGCATTTTATTTGGATACTGAAAGCATTGCGTCAGTATGCAGAGTGTGCTGAGAAAAAATACCACTGGCAGCAGTACAATCAAAATGGAAGAAATATACTTTCTAACATAACACAAACGACAAACGGACCCATCAGTATTTTGTAAAGTTCACTTTGGGCACTCCATTATCTGATAACTGGCAGTTTAATTTAAACTTCAGATACCAGTAGGTGGAATTATCAAAAAATAAAACACTCCACACATATAAAAACTAGACGCAGCAAATGAAAGAGAGTATAATGATTTAGTAAATATTTTTAATGAAACTATTATCGGATAAGTAGAAAAACAGTCGAGGTTTTATTTTAAAAAAATAATCCCTCAAACTAGTGTTCATATTGAAGGTTTCTGTTGTTTCTAATGTAGATTAAGACACTTAACATTCCATGCTGGAGTTTATCCTTTTTTTTAAGTTTATTTATTTAATCTGAGAGAGAGAGAGAGCACAAGTGGAGAAAGGGGAGAAAGAAAGAGAGAGAATCTCAAGCAGACTCCACACCATCAGTTGCAGAACCTGACGCGGGGCTCGAACTCACGAACTGCAAGATCATGGCCAGAGCTGAAGTCAGATGCTGAACCGACTGAGCCACCCAGGCACTCCTGAAGTTTAACTTTGAAATACTAAGTGTATGCTCTGCCCGTTACAGTAGAATCCCATGAATTTAGTTTTCAGTTCCTCCAGATTTTCAGAGCAGCAGTATGACAAGTCTCAGAATCATCATGAGGCTGGATTAAAGTAAAAGGGCAAAGGTCAGGTCACACTTACATGGCATAAGACAGGTTCATATATTCACCAAACCTGTACTGTTAGGAAACTTTGGCTTCCAGGATTCTCTCTTGCTTCTCCTTGGAGCAGGAGTGATCTCGTTATCCCTGTAAAGGAACTTCTCAGACCTGGCTGAATTAGCTACTTAAAAATGTTGATTGATTGCATGAGCCAAATCAGTACTCATTGTTCTGAAAATCTGGGATGAGCCTTTATAAGAGAAAGGTTTGAAAAGAAACACAAATCTTTCATAAGCTAGTGAAGGCACATGGCTTGAAAAAACAGGGGCACCTGGGTGGCTCAGTCAGCTAAGCGTCTGACTTCAGCTCAGGTCATGATCTCACAGTTCATGGGTTTGAGCCCCGTGTCGGGCTCTGTGCTGACAGCTAGCTCAGAGCCTGGAGCCTGTCTTTGCATTCTCTGTCTCTCTCTCTCTCTCTCTGACCCTCCCCTGCTCGCGCTGTCTCTCTATGTCTCTCAAAAATAAATAAAAAACAAAAAAAGAAAATAAAAGAAGAAAAAATAATCAAGGAGCAATTCTGGGGTGTTATTATTATAATCTCAGCTACTTTCTGTTGATTGGGGCCTTGTCTTCTTGACCCATGAATCCTGCTTCTGATTCTTTCTATCACTAAATATCATTTTTAGAACACAGCCATCACTGGAAGGCAGTACTTTCTAATCACATTCCTCTCTGACACCCACCCCCAATCAAGCCATAAACTTTATACATAGCCACACCAGAAGTTTATATAGCAAAGTAGAAATTACTCATTGCATTACCACCTAGTGATAAACACTATTTAACAGTTTCAAGTATTTCCTTCCTATCTTGGTTTTTAATACAGAAACTTTTGAGATCACACTATATTTGGTTGTTTATTATGTTTTCATCTTCTATTGTGTCATTAAGATTTTCTAATGCCACTAAATAGTTTTTGAAAACGGTACATGTAATGCCTGCTCAGTAGTTCATTAAGTAGACAAAACATGTATTGAAACATTTCCTTATTGGTGAAATTTTTAAAAAATGTTTATTTATTTTGAGAGAGACAGAGAGAGAGGGAGGGAGGGACAGAAAGAGGAAGTGAGAGAATCCTAAGCAGGCTACATGCTGCCAGCACAGGGCCAGACATGGGGCTAGAACCCATGAACCATGAGATCATGACCCGAGCCAAAATCAAGATTTAGATGCTTAACCCACTAAGCCACTCAGGCACTCCTTAAGTTGTTTCTAATTTTTTAATTCACCATTTGTTCCATTAGAAATAAAGTTGCAGGGGCACCTGAGTGGCTCAGTG